TTTTTTGGCGGTACGCGGGCCTCTCACTGCTGTGGCCTCTCCCGTTGCGGAGCACAGGCTCCGGACGCGCAGGCTCAACGGCCATGGCTCACGGGCCCAGCCGCTCCGCGGCATGTGGGATCTTCCCGGACCGGGGCATGAACCCGTGTCCCCCGCATCAGCAGGCGGACTCCCAACCACTGCGCCACCAGGGAAGCCCAAACTTTTTTTTTTTTTTTTAATAAGTTAAATCAGACAGAAAAGTCCTCAGTGCTACTCTTCATCGGTTCAGGAGTTCTGGTGGTAGACGGCCCCCCTCCCTCCCAAGAAAAGCACATGAGTGGAAAATTATTTTGGTTTCTGGGGACCAATCTGTTAAGGAGATGATTAGCTATAATACTGCTATTTGGGGATTAAAAATAACTTTTTAAAAAGAACACCTGAGCTCCCCAAATGTTTTACTTATTGGTAATGATGGCTTAAAACTTTCTTCAGCTGATTTTTTTATAACTTGTTTGGAGGAGATTCAGTTGACTGATAATCTATTACTTAGGGATCTTCGTGGTATTTGAAACCTATTAATATAGAAATGGTACCTTCGGGAAATCATATTCTAGTGCCAATACCCCAAAAAAGTCTAGGTCAGCACTGACCAACAGAACTTTCTGCAATGATGGAATTGTTCTCTATTTGGTCTCACATGGTAGCCACTAGCCATCTGTGGCTACTGAGCACTTGAAATGTGGCTAGTATGACGGAGAAACTAAATTTTAAATTTTATTTAATCTTCTTTAATTAAAATTTATATTTAGATCACTGTACGTGGCTAGTACCCACTGTATCGAACAGTGCAGGTCTAGGGAAACTGAAATCTAGTCTGTGAACCTGATTCAAGACATGACTGTGAAATGACATGGACCCCAGATGCCATCACCCTGCAGAAACCTTCCTCTTCATCATTCCCTGTGAGAGTGACAAATCCGTCTCGTAAATTTCCTTTTGGCGAAGGCTGATATGGAAACTGATGGGGCTTCAAGAACCTCTACTCTGAAATTTACAGCCTAGTCAACATCCTCTGGGACTTGAGGAGGGGTTTCTTGGCACCAGGAAAACAGGCTGGGATGAGGTTACCAGTTCTCCAGGGCATATGGGTTCCTTTCTGGAGGCTGAGGAAGGCTCAGGAAGGCAACACAGGTAACACCAGGTCATTTTACCCACTCCATGTCACCTGACTCAACAAATGCTCCTTCCTACCTGGGACTTTCTTCTGGCCTATAAGTCATGAAAATTATGACCATGGCAGTCAAGAATAAGAGGTTTTTTGCAAAATCTGGCTTGAGACCAGAAGTATAACTATATGTTGAGGTGGGCCACAGATATGAGGCTGTGGAACAGTCCTAAGTATATTCGGCTGTGTTCACACTCCTGTACAGCTCTCTATGGTCCAAGGATTCATTCCACCTAAGATAATGCAGAATCTTGGGGAACCCGACACACTCAGCAACCCCAGACAACAAGTACAACAAAAAAGGTTCTGTTTCTTTCGAAACAGCTAAAATTTCAAACTTTGTTTTCATCTTCAAATTAATCATTTTCTGGCCTTTGAAAAACCAATTCCAGTTTGAAAACTTATTATTTTTAAAAAAGAAAGTATACGTACATTTTAAAAACAGCAAACCACATATTAGCATTGGCAGTATGGTAAAAAGCACAAACCTGTGCCTTGTATTGTCTGAAAAAAAAAAGAAAGAAAGAAAGAAAGAAATACAATTAGCTGGAACTGACCAAAACAGAGATACAGTTGATCCTCTTTATTTGTAGATTCCGTATTTGAAATTTATCTACTTGCTAAAATTTATTTGTACTCCCCAAACCAATACCTGCAGAGCTTTCACGGTCATGTGCTGACATGGGCCACAGAATGGTGAAAACTGTGTTGCCTGATGTAGACATTCCCAAGCTGAGGTTCAAGGCAATGCTCTGCCCTTGTGTTTTAGCCCTTGTACTGTAGACATGTGCCCTATTTGTGGTCTATTTAGTGCCGGGTGTTTCACATTTCTGTACTTTTTTGTTGGCTATTTCACTGTCTAAAACAGCCCCCAAGCACAGTGCTGAAATGCTATCTCGTGTTCCCAAGCATAAGAAGGCTGTGTGTGCCTTACAGAGAAAACACACGTGTTAGATAAGCTTCATTTAGGCATCAGTTATGGTGCTGTGAATTCACTGTTCATGCATCAACCACATATATTAAATAAGGTGTCTTTAAACAGAAACACACATAAAGCAAGGTTCTGTATTGATTCCTTGCCAAAAATGTTGTGACCGGAGGCTTGCAGGAACCTAAACCTCTATCTCCCCTGGGACCAATGGTTCAATATGCACTAATTCTGTGTTTACAGTGACAGTAAAACATAACTATCGTGAATAAAGAGAATCGACTGTGTTTCTAAATAAACTTATATGCACAAGGTTGATACATATCAGGCCCAGTGCTGTTTATTAAAAGCAGCAAATAGTCTACTATTCAGCCATCCTGTCCTGCCAGTGGGAGCACAGCTTGGTATCGTGTGCTTGGCAGGGCAATGTGGCAGCCATGCATTGCAAGCCTGAGAAATGTTCATCATACAGCCGCTGACACTGTGCTAAATGATGTGCCTACAGGCTCACCAAATCATTGGGACAACGTTGGATTAGTGCTCTAACCTCTCAGTGCCTCAGTTTCCTCTTGGGGATCACTATAAATGGAACTGATCAATATGCCTCCTAGGGTAATTAACTGAGTCATTAACTGAGCATTAACTGAGTCAATACACTTAAGAACAGCTATTAGCTCTTGCCATGAACCTATTGAGTTGATGCTATTGGAATCTCTACTAACGTCCTTTGATCCTGCAATTCCATTTCTAAGATATTAACCTACAGAAACTATCAGTTATGTGCCTCTCTCCTCCCTCCAAAAAAGGCACAAAGATATTTACCCCAGTCTTACAATATCAAAAAGCTGAAACAACCAAAGTGCCCACAGTAGAAAAGAATGATGTGTGTTCATGAGGTGGACTCTATCCACCTACTAAAAATCTAAGGCCAGAATACTGAGGATATGGCAAAACAATCACCACACATTGCTAAGCCAGAGGGTGGGGTCACTCACAGCAGGTCTAGCATGGATGAGAGAGAGGGGAGGGGAGGGGAGGGGAGAGAGAAAACGAAAGAATGAATGAGAGTATGAACACACACCCTGTCCTCTTAGTAGGAACACAGGTGGGTTAGAGCAAATAGGCAATAATCCATTGGTTTGATTTGAGAGGCCCCTGGCCAGAAACGGCTAGTTGCTCCCCATACCCATTCTCCCCTCTTTAATAAAAGAATTCAGATTTTCAGCTGGGCATACCACCACTCCCCTAAAAGAGTAGTTTCTCAGCCTTTCTTGTAGCAAGGTTTAACCATGTGGCAAGTTTTGGGCCGTGAGATGCAAGAAGGGTTGTGTGGTATTTCTCAAAAGTCTCCCTGAAAGGGGTAAGACACACCATCTTCCCCTCCCTGGGTCCCACTGCCTGAGATAGCAGGGAAGGTGCAGGAGCTGGACCACACAACTGCATAAAGTAGCAATGTGCCCAGGGCTGCTTACCTCCAATTATTATTATTATTTTTTATTAGTTGAGAAAAGTTCATCATTTATCCTTTTTAAAAAAAACTGGAGTATAGTTGATTTACAACGTTCTGTTAGTTTCAGGTATACAGCACAGTGATATACCTGATATATTTTACCTTTTCTGTAAGATGTTATGGAGAAACCCGAACAAACGTTTTGGCCAACCATATACATATACACACACACACACACACATATATATACACAAATATATATACTCTTTTTCAGATTCTTTTCCATTATAGGTTATTACAAGATATTGAATATAGTTCCCTGTGCTATACAGTAGGTCCTTGTTTATCTATTTTATATATAGTAGTGTGTATCTTTTTTTTTTGTTTTTTCGGTACGCAGGCCTCTCACTGCTGTGGCCTCTCCCGTTGCGGAGCACAGGGTCCGGACGCGCAGGCTCAGAGGCCATGGCTCATGGGCCCAGCCGCTCCGCGGCATGTGGGATCTTCCCGGACCGGGGCACGAACCCACGTCCCCTGCATCGGCAGGTGGACTCTCAACCACTGCCCCACCAGGGAAGCCCAACAGTGTGTATCTTTTAATCCCAAACTCATAATTTAACCCTCCCTCCCCAATGTTTTTTTTTTTAGCATGAAAGAAGTCATCTACATTTTTAAGTCACTGATATTTAAAAAAATTTTTTTAAACAGGTGAATCTAACTCTACTTGATACAGTCCCTTCCAAAATCCTGTCTCCCACGGGATGATGCCAGATGCCGTCATCGCTTTGGGACAGCAGAGATTTAGGGGAGATGAAACAACAATGATACAAGTTCTTAATGACGTTCTTCCTTCTTGACCTGGCCAGTGCACTGACAGTTGCTCGCTCTCTCTTCACTTGGCTTTGGAGATACCAAGTTCTTGGGGTTTTCTGCCTTCCTCCCTAGAGATCCTTTTCAGTCTCCTTTGCTGGATCCTCTGCCCTTAACAGCCCCTACATGCTGGAGTCCTCAGGACTCAGTCTCAGCACCCCTCTCTGACGACTGCTTCCTCCACATGATCTCTTCCAGTCCCAAGGCTTTAAATGCCTACTGTACTCTGATTATGCCCAAATCTCTATCTCCAGCCCTAACCACTCACGAGAGACCTAGACTCATAAATCAGAGCACCGTATTTGACGTCTCCATTTGAAATCTAATGAGAATCTCAAACAACACGTCCCAAACCAAACTCTATTTCTTCCACACACCTGCTGTTCCCCTGCTTTCCAGTCTAATAGCAACACAATTCATTCCGTTGCTTGAGCCAGAAATCTAGGGGTCATCTGAGTATTTCTTTTTAGGCACCTTTCTTCCACTCAAACCATTAGAAAATCCTGTTTCTATTTTCAAAATGTAGCCTAATCGGAACCACTTCTCCCAACTCTACTAGTCCAAGACACCATCTTCTCTTGCTTAGACCAAGAGTTTCCAAATTAGGCACATAACCCCAGGGAGAACATAAGACGACCAATGAGGTGCAAAAAAAAAGTAGAACCTCTATCTATTTTTACTACTTATGTCATTCTTTAAGTTTTTTAGATTTTGTATATGTTTTAAAATTGTATGAGTTATATTCATTTTGTATTATATTGTGGTAAAAGTATCTGTTGTTCCCCAATAACCAATTTCTCCTTTTCACTCTGGGAAGAGAACCCCTGTGTTTTAACTTGGCACATGGCCAGCAAAAGATGGCACTTCTCAGCCCCCCTCAGCTAGATGTGGCCACGAACTCAGACTGGTCAAGGGGGTGTGAATGGAAGTGATGCATGCCACACTTGATCTTTAAAGGGGAGGACCAGGCTCCACCCCTCTCCTTCTCCCCTCCCACTTGCTATGGAGCAATTAGAGATGCGAGCCCCTGTTTGACTCCAGAGAGCACAATTTTTAAGCTATAAGCATTTCAGTATGTATTTCCGAAAGATAAGGATTCTTCGTAAAACATAACCATGGCATCATCAGACTTAAAAAATTGTGTTCAACATCATCAAACATGGAATCACTGTTTAAAGTGCTCCTGTTTTTTTACTCTTTTCTGTTTGAATCAGGAACTAATAAGGTCCATACATTGCAGTTAATTGATATGTTTCTTAAATTTCCTTAAACTTTAAGTCCCCCCATCACCACTCTTTTTCTTCCCCTTATAATTTATTTATTGAAGAAACTTGATCTTCAGTCCTAAAAAATCTTCCACAGTCTGTACTTTCATTTAACATGGTATGGTTCTCACTAGCCAATTCCTGTGAATCAGTCCAAAAAAATTTTTTTAATTTGATTCATTTTGAGATATATAATATAAAGAGTCAGGAGGGTGTCATGGAAAAAAACTCCAGAAATCGGAAGACTTAAATTTCTATTCTATTTCCATTACTTAAGTGACCTAAATAAATATAAGAAAGAAAAAAGAAAAAAAATTATTCACAGAATCACGCTACCCCAGCCCAAGGAGACTCACATTTTTTATCTGCCCTAGAATCCTGTTCACACCTCACAATTGTTGATATTATCCTGAAATACGGTATTCACTATTTTCATCTCTTATGCTTTAGTGAACCACTTTCAACTTACTGATCCGTCTGTTTATAAACTGGGGGTGTAATGTATAAAACAGATAAGAATTGTAAATTACAAACATACATGACACTTAAGCAACATAAAGAGACCATAGCTGAGACAGACTGTCATGCTATTAACCAAGCGTCAGCCTAGACAAACGTATTGCACTTTAAAAAATAATAATAATAATAATTAATTAATTAATTAAGCTGTGCCGGGTCTTAGTTATGGCACACAGGATCTTCATTGCCGTGTGCGGGGTCTTTTAGGTGCGGCATGAGGGCTCTTAGTTGCGGCACACGGGCTCTTAGTTGTAGCACGTATGTGGGATCTAGTTCCCTGACCAGGGATCGAACCTGGGGCCCCTGCATTGGGAGCTTGGTGTGTCTTAACCACTGGACCACCAGGGAAGTCCCTGAAGGCACCTTCCTGTTGCACGTGTGCAACCTTGAAGAACACAACGGTAATGAAGAATATTAGGAAGCAGTATTGTGAATAATTAAGAGCATGGGTTCTGAAGCCAGATGGCCTGATTTCAAAACCAGGCTCTACCACTTACTGGCTGTTGACCTTGGACAAGCAACTTAAACTCCCAACTATGTCTTGGTTTCTCCTCATGAAATAAGGATATTTACTAGATTGCGTGGGGATGGAATTAATTAACATATGTATTAGAATGGTACTTGACACAGAAAGTACTAAAAAATATTAGCTTTATATCTGTAATAGAGTGTCCGTGAAAACTGTTAACTCAATTTAAGTTTCAAATTTATGAAATGTATGTTAGTTACTGCATCTGTGGTATGAAATTCATGAACCACTACTTGTATGTAGGTCCATGAACCCCACTTGTATATAGGATCTCTACCACGACACACGTAGTCACTTACCACTTGGGACACAGGTTGACAAAATGATTGATGTTGTCCTTCTGAATAATGGATTGCTAATGATACACTGAATTTCCTGTGAAAGATCACCTTCCTTCGTAACATACGCTTCAGATGGTTTTGAGCCACTCTGACACTGTATCGTTGAAGGACAGTCCCAGGAGTACTGTATGAGTTCTAGATGGGTGTTGTAATCTTCCAGGATCATGCACTGGAGTGTAATGTTCCCATCAGTCAATGTGCAAGATAGTGTTGGTGATGGAAGAGACTCTGGGAAAAAACAAAAAGTAATGTTTAGTACAGAAAAGAGTAATATTTAGACTCCTCATCTGCAAATTCAGAAAGAGCTTCCGGGGACTTCCCTGGTGGCACAGTGGTTAAGAATCTACCTGCCAACGCAGGGGACACGGGTTCAATCCCTGGTTTGGGAAGATCCCACGTGCCACGGAGCAACTGAGCCCGTGTGCCACAACTACTGAGCCTGCACACCACAACTACTGGAGCCCACACCCTAGAGGCTGTGGTCTGCAATAAGCGAAGCCACTGCAATGAGAAGCCCGTGCACCACAATGAAGACTAGACCCCGCTTGCTACAACTAGAGAAAGCCCGCGCACAGCAATAAAGACCCAACACAGCCAAAAATTTAAAAAAAAAGAAAAGAAAAGAAAAGAAAAGAAAGAGCTCCCAATTTCCTTATGAGCTTGAAAAGACCAACAGTCCACCCCCCTGAGCAGCAAGGGGAGAGAATTCTCTCTTCTTCTGGGTCAGATCTATCTGCTCAAATTCAGCATAGACACAGGCCCCAAATCCCTTATCCTCAATCCTGAAATCCAAAGAGTTCCGAAAGCCAAAAGATTTTTCACAAATATTTATTACCATGTTTTACTAAAAATATTTACATGCTTGAGTAAGCGGCTCTCCGTAACTAAGTGAAGTGCTTCTTAACACACACAGCAGAAATAGTTTATATCTACTGCCTTTCTAAAATCTGAAGAAGGCTGAATTCCAAAGCACACCTGACTCAAAGGATTTTGCAAAAGGTTCTGAGGAGCTGTACTGTGGGCTGGCCCCGCTCTGAGGTAGAGGAGGGCATGGCACTTGTCACAGCCCTGTCGGTCTAGAGGCCTCACCCCCAGGTTTATTCTGGAAGCACCTCCTGCTGGCTAAGGCAGCTGGAGTTGCAAGGATGGATAAGACAAAAGTCATGACATGCCATGATCACCCTCTAAATTTAGCCTCAAAGCCAATCGGCTCACCCCATTAGTCAGTGGTTTATTAATTCATATACCTTCTTGCATCTCTCCTTTCCACCAAAAACTAATCACAAGAGATTTGAGAAACATGTAAAACTATATGGAATATACAAAAATTGGTCATGGTAGCATTTGGATAATAAAATTTCAATACCTTGCAAACATCTACTAAAAAGCGAATTAAAGTTCATCAAGATGATGCGATACTATGCTGTCATTTAAAATATTTTCTAAGACAAAGGAACACAAGCTCCACTTGATAATCTAAAAAATAAATATGTTCAACTCATCTTGCCTCCCTCTTCTCCTGACTTCTTTCTGGCTCAGTTAAATAACACACCCAGCCTGGCTTGTTAGACCTGAGTCACACATGACTCCGCTTTCTGCCTGGCGTTTCCTCAAGTTTTAGGTTTAATCTAGCTCACATAATTCATCACATGTTGCCTTCAAGTTGTGTTCTTTAGTTAAAAGAACTCTAAGACACACACACATACACACACACAAGTGTGTATTCACTGCAGACTACCTGCTATCAGTAAGCAGGGTGACGAGTGGTGAGTCGTGGCAGAGGCAGGCACCAACAAAGTTTGGTTTCAAGGGAAAAGGGATAAGGAAGGTGAGGGGACACTTGAAAGGCCCAGAAGCCATGCTTCATGATTTGGCCAAGAACAGGTCCTGAGCAGAAATGACTGCTGACCCCAGTGCTCAAGTAGCAACTTGGAGCCTCTTCTAATAATCACTTCAGAATCCCATGGTCTACTGGAAAACCACCACAGATAATCCTAACCATGATCATTCAAAATCACATTTGTACTCAGCCTTAAAAGAAAGGAAATTCAGACACATGCTACAACATGGATGGACCTTGAAGATGTTATGCTAAGTGAAATAAGCCAGTCACGAAAGAATAAATCGTACACGATTCCACTGATAGGAGGTTCTTAACAGTACCCAGATTCTTAGAGACAGAAAATAGAAAGGTGGTTGCCAGGGAACTGGGGGAGCGGGGAATGGGGAGTTCGTGTTTAATGGGTACAGAGTTTCAGTTTGGAAGATGAAAAGTTCACCTGTTCTGTTACAGATTCTAGTTTATTGATCTAGTTCAGCCAATGTCCCACTACCCATGACAGGACCTAGTTCAGCCAAAGTCTCGCTGCCCATGACGGGACTTACCACAGCTATAATCTAACAAATATTAGTTACATCTGTGCCTTAAGCAACTGGCAAGAAATGTGCCTGCTTCATCCCTAAGACAACTTAGTCAATTTATAATTAATGAGTTCAGCTCACTATTCTGTAAGAAATGAGAATTTCTTATACATATCTGATGACATGTGTGTATTTCCATAAACTTTAATAAAAAGTCATATGCCAGTCCAGACCTTTTAAGGATAGAGCAGTTAATTCTACTTACATGAACATTACCAGCCTCCATGCAATAAAGGTTATAAGAGGACGGGCAAGGACTATTAAATGCTGATGGTGGAAATTTTTAAGGGGACTTTGAGGGAAGGAGTAAAGCCAGATGTTCACTTACACAGAAGGACGTAGATGCTCTGCAACTAGAGGTGCCAGGAAATCCCCCTGTGTCTAAAATAGCCTTTCTGAAAGGGTCTGGTGTCTCCGGAAGATTACTGAGTTTTATTAGTTTAGTCTTAACGTACCATCATGGAAGTATGACTTCCTCATTTCTAAAAAAAGAAGAAGTATGACTAATCGTCTTGACATTCACGTATGTATTTTTATAACCAAAATCTAAATCTTATTAACTCTTTCTTGGAAGTGTCTTCTGATTCTTTCCTTTCCAAACATCTGCTACTAACACCTCTATCTACCTGGATGATCACAGTAGCTTCCAACCTGGCGTCTCCTTTTTGTAATCCACCGTAAATACCTCCCATCTGATTAACCTTCCAGAAATATAGTTCATCAAGGCACTTCTCTGCTCCAGTATCAGTTACAGTGGCTCTCCACTCCCACAGGCTAAACCCCAGATTCCCAAACCAGAACTTGAAGTCAACACATTAACGGCCAATATCACTCATTGCCTCCTGACTGAAACTCGCCTCCCCTGCACCTTGCTCCTCTGCAGGCCTTTGCTGAGCTTCCTAAGGACTATCCAGTTAGTCTAACTAAATCAAGCACCTTTGTTGAGTTACCACGGAATTTTTAAAATTAAATTATTTTAAAATTATCACTTTTAAACATTTCATCAAGTTTTAAAAAGAGAAACTTAAATGTTTCGAATTCAGTTTTACAAACTCTATAAAGGGGCTCGTAAAATGCATTCTATTCTAATTTAAATTCTGAATCAATCTTTTTGTTTGCTTGCCCTACAACTGCCAAATCTCCACCTTGCAGGTTTTAAGGATTTTGCTTCTTCAAAGGCATTGATTGATCCTTCTAACAGGATGCCTGCACACCTTAACAAGCTCCACTTATCTAAAAGGAGTTCATCATCTCCTGGACAAACCAGTCACCCAGTCTGAGAGCACCCCCCCGCCCCCGCAATTACTGTAAATTGTGCATCCCACCTCCCAATCATCCAGATCAATTGCTTCCATATCTGCTGAGTGCCCATTACCTATTCATCAAATCCTTTGCTGGGCTCTGGGGGTACAACGGTGAACAACAGAGAAGTTCTCTCTTCCTCCCACTGTCTCCAATACTGGGTAGCTGAACCGGTGAGGGACAGCTATTCACCCAGCTATATCCTGAGACCACCTCAAACAGCTCAGACTTGAACTGCTATATTGCACTCTGCCTCTTCTCCATCCCCTGGAAACCATCTTACACAGTTTGCCACCAGTTGGATCTTCCTAAAACACCCTTTAACATAGAGGAAGTAGGCCTAGAACTATACCCACATCTTGGATAAACCAAGTGAAACTGTGACGCAGCAGAGGGGACAGATGGGTACAGGGTGAGTTGTGCTGGGTGGCGGCACAGAAAAGGCAGCTATGAGGCAAAAGCATTACTAGGACATCTGAGAAAAGCAAGGGGAGGTCACAGGGGCCAGATCTCATATAGCCTTGTAGGCCACTGTAAAGACTTTAGCTGTAACTCAGAGTCAGATGGGGCCACTAGAAAGTTCTAAGCAGAGGAGTGATGTGATCTGACTTCTGTTTTAAGAAGACCACTCCGGCTTCTGTGTTTAAAATTAAACTGTAGAGGGGCAAGGGTGGAAGCTGGGAGACCAATTAGCAGGCTATTGCAATCCTCCAGGGGAGAATGAAGCAGTCCTGGATCAGACCAGAGGACATGATGAGAGGCGGTCAGATTCTGGTTCTATTTTGAAGGCAGAACCAACAAAATTTTCTGGTGGAGTGAATACGGTGTTCAAGAGAAAGAGAGGTGTCAAGGATGATACCAAGGTTTCAGCTTGAGCAACTGCAAGGATGGAGCTGCCATTAACCAAGAGGGGGAAGGTTTGGGGAGGAACAGGTTTTGAGGGAAAGGTCATGAGCTCACTTCTGGACATGTGAGATCTGAGAGGCCACTTAGATATCTGAGTGGAGACAGAGTAGGCAGTCAGATAAACACCTAAGGAGCTCAGTGGAGGTCTGGGCTAGAGCTCTAAATCTATGCATTATCAGCACTGAATGCTATTTAAAGCCCTGACATGTGATAAGCCCACCCACCTGGGTGTGAATGCAGGCAGAGAAGGGAAGAGGTCCAAGGCTTAAGCCTTGAAGTCGCCAGTGTTAAGAGGTTGGGGGAGGGACTTCCCTGGTGGTGCAGTGGTTAGGAGTCTGCCTGCCAATGCAGGGCACACGGGTTCGATCCCCGGTCGGTCTGGGAAGATCCCGCATGCCGCGGAGCAACTGAGCCCGTGCGTCACAACTATGGAGCCTGCGCTCTAGAGCCCGCGTGCCACAACTACTGAGCCCGCGTGCTGCAACTACTGAAGCCCGTGTGCCTAGAGTCTGTGCTCCACAGCATGAGAAGCCACCGCAATAAGAAGCCCACGCGCCGCAAGGAAGAGTAGACCCCGCTCGCCGCAACTAGAGGAAGCCCGCGCGCAGCAACGAAGACCCAACGTGGCCAAAAATAAATTAAAAAAAAAAGAGGTTGGGGGATGCAAGGGGATAAGGGAACGAACCAGCAAAGGAAACTGAGAAGGAACTGTCAGTGACTTAAAAGTAAACTAGAGTCGGGTGGTGCCTGGATGCTAAGGTGAAGATGCTTCACAGAGGAGGGAGTGATTAGCTGTTTCAAAAACTTCTGAGAGAAAGATGTGGATGGAGAATGAGTCACTGGATTTATTCATGAGGAAGTCATGAGGAGTTTGGGTACAGCAGTGGGGATGAAAGCCTGTTTGGAGTGAATAGGAGAAAGGGGGTATGTAGACAGCTCTTCCAGTAGATTCTCTATAAACTGAAGGCAGAAAGTGGGTGGTAGGTGGAGGAGTAGAGGGGCCAGAAGAGGGCTTGCAATGATGGTACAGATAATCGCTTATTTGTATGCTGATGGGAATGAGCCATTATGTCGTGGAGGAAATTACTGTAAGGAGAGAGTGGGTAGAATTATAGAAGTGACATCCCTGAGTATAATGAGAGGAGGTGGGATCCAGGGCACAAGTAGAGGGTCTGGCTCCAGATGAGAACTCAGCAAGCTGAAAATAAGAACTGCCAAACAGGAATGGTAGAGAACAGGGTATATGGGGTCAGGCACAGGTAAGCAGACAGGCTGGTGGTGAGAGCTTGCTGGAGTTCTCTTCCGGTTGCTCGTTTTCCTTCAGTGAAACAAGAAGCAAAGCCTTCAGCTGAGGAGTGGGTCCGGAGAAGGAGGTGTTCAAGGTTTGAGGAGAGAAAAGGTAACTGCTGGGAGTGGGTGAGTGAAGACACTAGGAACATACTGGGTGTAGTTGCAGTAAATCATCAGAATTTTAAAGTGTGGGGCTCTGCAAGGTGATGTGCTTTTCTGCAGCTACAAGGCGTGAGCACAGAACGTTGGATTGAATCTGGCTGGACTGGGCTTTGTCCAATCAAAGTTCAATCATTGAGCATGACCAATCAGAAAAGGAGCAAAGAAGCCGGGTGTGTCTGCAACAGAGTGAGCCCAGGGAGTGAGCACGGCACTGGGGCTGCAGGAGGAGGGCAGGGAGGACATCAGTGGGGCAAGGACTGTCAGAGGTGGCAGAGCAGAGGAACTGAGCTTCCAGCAGAGGAAGTGGAACTGAGATACTGAGGTGATGGAGGGAATGGAATCACTGGTAAAGACAAGTTCTACATTATATCTGCGGGGACAGTAAGACAGAGTGAAGGAGATCATTACAGGAGATGAGAGCAAGGACGAAGAAGTCAGGATATTAGAAGGAACTTTCATTTAAATATTACAAAAGCACCAAGAATTATGACAACAGGAACATTAGAAACAGTGAAAAGGAACCAGGCACTAAAATAATCAGGAAATATTGGGGTGATGTTCTTAGCAGCACTATTTACAATAGCCAAGACATGGGAACATTGTAAGTGTCCATCAACAAATGAAAGGATAAAGAAGATGTGGTATATATAAATGGACTATTATTCAGCCATAAAAGAGAAGTGAGAAAATCCTACCATTTGTGACAACATAGATAGACCCTGAAGGCATTATGCTAAGTGAAATAAATCAGACTGAGAATGCAAATACTGTATGATCTCTAAAAAGAGAGAAATCTCTAGAAATCTTTTTAGATTTAGTGGAATCTAAAAAGAAAAAAACCAAGCTCATAGAAAAAGAGATCAGACTTGTGGTTACCAGAGGTGGAGGGTGGGAGGAAGGGGATTTGGAGGAAAGTGGTCAAAAGGTATAAACTTCCAGTTATAAAATATATGAACACTAGGGATACAATGTGCCACATGTTGACTATAGCTAACACTGCTGTATGGTATGTAGGTAAGTTGTTAAGAGAGAAGATACTGGGCTTCCCTGGTGGCGCAGTGGTTGAGAGTCCGCCTGCCGATGCGGGAGACACGGGTTCATGCCCCGGTCTGGGGAAGATCCCACGTGCCGTGCAGCGGCTGGGCCCGTGAGCCATGGCCGCTGAGCCTGCGCGTCCGGAGCCCGTGCTCCACAACGGGAGAGGCCACAACAGTGAGAGGCCCACATACCGC